TCTCACTGACGACTCCGGCTAAACGTTTGGGAATGTATCAAGTCAATGGTCGAATGCTATAAATCACGAACACTATTGCAGAGGACACGGGACTAGGTACGTTCCACAAGAAAACAATATCGAACCAACAATACACAGCTGAAGGAGATTGTCCCCGAAAAGAAGGCCTCAATATCTTGGTCTTCATATCTACGGGTCTTCTTAGTTTAAAGTAATATTCACAACAGCAAAGTAATCTTCCTTTGGTTTTCGGTTAGGTCAATTTATAAAACGATTATACGCTATCCGGATGATCTTAAGGACTCAGCTCTTCCTGACATAGACAAAGCGTGCAAAAGCCTCAGGTTGTGTGCAAAACTCAAATAAGCCAACCTGGCAACGCGAAACGCTCCACCAGTTCGACTGGCCGGCAAGCCTGATCCTGCCAGCGAGATGCAGTCATGAAGGCGGCTGTGCAATCGCATGCCTCTCGCCGTCTGACCGACATAGCCGCAGATGCGACAGCGCAGCTCCGCCACTCCGCATGGCTCCCAGTCCTCATCGGCGCCTCTGCCAACGGAGAGGCCACTGGAGTACGGGTTGGTAGAAGTGGTCATGTTGTTGGTTGCAGCGGTGGTGGTGGCGGTAGGCGTGGAGATGGTGGCTAGAAAAGATATTCCTGATGAAGATAAAGACGAGGGCGAGGCGAGAACTGAACATGCAATACCGGACTGTTTGGAGTTGGCCATGTTTGGCGAACTGACGTCTGTATTTTTCGAACCGCTATTTCTGTGATTAACTCTGCCTCCGCTTGGAGTTATCACGTTGCTGACACTGGATTTGGCAAGGGTAGAGGCAATGGTGGTGATATGAGCGACAGGAAGGAGAGTTGTCGTTTGCTTGCGTTCCAATTCTGGACTGGATGAGGACCCTTGAGGCCCTCGTAGTTCCCCCTCCGCGTGAGCACCAGAAACTTTTCCTATGCTGTTTCCTGGACCTGGATCACTTTCACGACTGGACTTGATCTCGAACTCTTTAGTCATGAAGGCAGTTTCATCGACAACCAGCCTTCGTCTTTTGATTGGCGGCCGAGAGCAAGCCGGTGAGTCAAGTCCACTGACGGTGCCGGAGTCAGCAGATGCATGGGGCGGAGAAGAGAGAGAATGAGAGGCAGTGCTGTTCTCCGAGCCAAACACCGACTCACGATGCAAAGACGCGGAAGAGACGCTGGTCTGCGAGGAAAGTGACATTTGCTCCGGAGGAGGTGATGGACTTGCAGTAGTCTTCTCGGATCGTTCGTTAGAAGAGAGCTGCTCATAGAACGATTGCGAAGAGGATTGGGCAACGATTGACGATGCGTTAGGATTGCCCGACGAATGGCAAGAAGTGGAAAAGGTGGCAAACTTGGGGGATGAAACTGTGGCAGAAGTGGAATTGGGCGATGAAGAGCCTGTAGCAACAGCAGCGGCAGCAACTGCGGCTGCTGCTGCTCCCTCCATTACCTTGCGTCTAGCCTGGCAATAGAATTGTTGATGAGCCTGAAACGTAAAATACAACAGAGGGCATTAACAAGCGGATTAACTTTTCCGTGTAAATATGCAATAGACTAGTTAAGAAAGACTGTAAGAGCATTGAAGGCAGTAGAAATTTTTAAAAATGTCCAAAAATTAAAGTAAGGAATATGTTGTTTATGCGAAGAAAAGTTGGGCTCCGAGGAATATCTTATTTCATACTTGTTGAGCTGACTTCCATTTCAAGTGAAAGTGTTTGGTGAAGAGATTCTAAGGTCAATTCCACCAGAAGACGACGGCAGATTCCTCTTGATCAGCTGTCGATTGGCTTTACTGAAATGGACAAAAGCTTAACACATTTTCACCGAAATCGAAAGAGGTTACCTCGGAAGCAGCTTCAACATAAATGTTTCAGTAAAGCCAATCAAAAGCTGGTCAAGAGAATTCCGCCGTCGTCTTCTGGTGGAATCGACCTTTGAATCTCTTCACCAAACACTTTCACTTGAAATGGAAATCAGCTCAGCAACATGTTATTTACGCTTAAGATTTATCAACAATGCCTTTCTCAGCCCCAATTTGACATGTATTCTATTATGGTGAGGCAATCATGGTAAATCCTTTTAGATCTAATCATGGTCAGGATAATGAGACATAGGTTTAAAGACATAATTATTTAATATTCGTATGAGAGTAGGGTTTCGAGACTACCAGTAAATCAGTGTAATAAGTTGTATTTACTCTATTTCGTCTAAGGTGATGAAGGACTGGTAGTAGAATTTTCCCACAATGATATGAGTAGAGCTGAAGTTTCCATTGAATTTCACATAGCCTTGCTTTCCCAAAAGTTGTTCTCCTCCAGGGTGGACTGCAGTTTCGACTTTGCATCGGTCTTATCAATACCCTCAGCGGGAGTCGAACTGCGACAGTGCAGGATGGAAGCTTGCCACGCTAACCATCCATCCTGCATTGTCGCGGTTCGACTCCCGCTGAAAGTGTTGATATTACTGATGTGAGGTCGAAACTGCAGTCCACCCTGGAGGAGAACAACTTTTGGGAAAGCAAGGCTATGTGAAATTCAATGGAAACGTCAGCTCAACTCATAGCATTATGGGAAAATTCTACTACCAGTCCTTCATCACCTTAGACGAAATAGGGTGAATACAACTTATTACACTGATTTACTTGTAGTCTCG